AAAAAAAAAAAAATTTACGTATTTACATATCTGAAAGATTATGACCGAAACTTGATTATTTTTAAATCTATCAGACAAGAGAAGAACGGAAAATGGAAGCTATCCTGCAAGCTTTTGCCAGACTAGAAAAAAGAGAAAAAAGAAGAGAACAGGCATTGGAAAGAATCAGCACAGCAAAAACTGAGGTTAAATCAGAATGCAAGGAAGCACAGATTCTCAACGACACTGAATTTATTCAGGTGGTTATCTGGAGCTTTATTTTAAAACTAGCTTTTAACATATTTTATTGGTTTGGATGTCGAGTTGCACTTCAAGATGTTGCATTATTTTTTTTTCCCTCTGAACTCATACTTGATCAAAATCTGTATAGTTCTTTGACATTATATTCTGTTAGCTCCTAAATTTTTTTCCCAAGAAAATATGTATAGGATTAGTTTATTAGGAATTTCAGTTACATTAGTTTATAGCAAATGTTCACACACACCAGCTGCATAATTTAGTCTCTGTTTGAAGTTCAGGGTGGGAGGTGTTTACCGATGCTGACTTTAAGCACAGGAGGTAGCTTTCTTTAGGCAGCCTCTATAACCAGTGGAGAACAAATTGCTTCTTCAGTGGCTTATTCAGGAACAAATTATAAACCTTTCTTCTAAAGGAAAAGAATTATTAAGGTGTAGTTTGTTCTGAGTTCTTGCTGATGATGCTTAATGTTTCATAAACAACTTTTTGCTCTGTTGTTGCTGGATGCTAGTATGCTTCTTACCTCGCTAATACTCCTGCACATTCTCAGTTCACGTTGTTTCCCTGGATAATTTCTGTCAACATGCTGTTAGGTACCTTTTGTGACAAAACTAAACACTTAGTAAACTATAAACTACAGAAAGGATATTGGATTGAAAGACATCATGATGTAAGCAGCTGATTTGTGGCTTACAGACGAATGAACGTGGTATGACAGTTCTTACACAAATTTGTGGTGATCTGACCAGTGACTGGTGTGTGTGAATACTCTGCCAATGATATAGCAGGTGCTTGTGGGGAAAATACAGGAAATCTTGTAGTTTGCCTTGAAGAAGGATAGAAATACTCTCTCTGAAGTATTTTAGTTCTAACAACAAAAATGAGATAGTGGCTTTTTGGACCTGTAAAGGAAGGAGGAACTGCCATTTTGTTTTAAGAAAGGTAGCTTTACATGCGTGTGGGATCTGTTTACTAAGACTTCTATTTTGTACCAGGAACCAGCAAAAGAAGAAACTGCCACTAAGCCTACCCCAGCCAAAGTTAATAGAGCTAAACAGAGAAAAAGCTTCTCACGGAGTAGAACTCACATTGGACAACAACGCAGACGACACAGAACTGTCAGCATGTGTTCAGATATCCAACCATCTTCTCCTGACGTGGAAGTAACTTCACAACATAATGAAACAGAGAATGCTGCACTGATAGCTGAGCCTGAAACAGAAACTGTTGTTACAGAAATGGTTACTGAAACAGAAGCTCCAGCACTTAATAAATGCCCTACTAAGTATCCTAAAACAAAGAAGGTATGTCTCTTAAGAGATGAGGAGAAGAGGAAGGACTTTAACAGTTTTAAAAAAAATTAGACTACTGCATCAGTATACAACTATATTTTGTTTTTTTTTTTTAAAAAGTGACTCTTTTTTTTTTTTTTTTAAATTGCCATTACGTAGCCACTCACTGGTAATAAGAGATTAGTAAAGGTATGCGTAACATTGGTAGAAGTTATTTTGGATTTTAAGAGACGTCCAAAATACGTCTTTCAAAACAATTTTGGAACAAATGTTTTCTAAGGGAAGTACTTTCTAAATGGACTGAAATAATATACATAATCAAAATGTAATTAAAGCCCTTAATAGGAAAAAAATAGGAAATAAAATTTGCCTTTCCTGCCTTTGTTCATCATATGCTTTAGAAGGTATTTTAATGGGAGCAAGCAGAATATTTAAAAGGAAATCATTAACTTCTAGTACTTCTGAGATGTCTGTTCTGAATTGAATGGATTTAAACACTCAAAATCTATATGCATGTTTGGAGGGAAGATCCTTTAGAGCTTTGGTTTTAATTTTTTTTTTTTTATTGGACTGCATTGCAAAAAGCTTGAAGAAATGCCACAATATATAAAGATACTCCAAAAAAAAGTTACATCTGCAAGTGCGAATAAAGCAGTAAAACTTTCTGCTTTAAAATTTTACAGACCGCATTAAAAAGTGACTTTTCAGCATGCTTTACAAGTTCTGAAAATTTTATTTGGTGGAGAGGTAGGAAATCATAGGTGGAAGCTTCTTGTCAAATGAACATTAACAATTTCAAGATGGTTTTATCTTAAAACCCCCAACATGCTTAATTTACATATTTTTATTATTTCAAAAGGCACCTGAGTCATCCTGTAACACTGCTTATTGCATCACTATTAAATTCTTGTCAGAGGGGAGACTAGAATCTTCCTTCCTTTTTTGTGTATTGCATAGCAAAAAAGGAAGGTATCTGAGAAGTCTGAATTTTACTGCACTTTTTTTGCTATTTCATAGTATTAAGGATAAATGTCTGTGAAATGTCTCATTGCATTGTACCCAGTGTACCCAAAGTGTGGAGAAAGTCCTGCTTTAAAAATGAATTAATAAATATAAATAGGTTTCTAAAAGACCAGCAAATTAATTTTAAACATGATAATCTGTGTTAAAGCCTTAATAACATATTGATAATATTTAATGCGCTATTTTTGCGTGTCCTTAACTACTTTGAACCATTGTAAAACTTAGAAGGTTAGTTTCTCTGTTAATAGGAACTAAAATCCACTGGCACGTTTTTCAAAAACACTAAACTAGTTAGGAAAGAATACCTTTTTTTTTGATAAGCGTGCCTTAGTAAATGTGTTGTAATTTAATACAGCTACAATAGTGAAGAATGTTCAAGGCATCTGCCTGACGCATTGACTGAAGCTCAGTCCTGACAGTATGGAAATGTAATGAAGAGTTTACTTAAGTTTGTTCTGTTAATGTTACACTGTTACCCCTCAGCTTAGGTACTCGGGCATAAGTTTAAAATTTGTCTTGGAATTCTGTTACTAAATTCCTGTTGTAGGTACAGTTTACCTGGGCACTTGTGTAGCATGTTCAGTGAGAATTAAATACAAAAGAACTAAATGTTAGTTTGCAAAAAAAAAAAACCCAAAAAGCAAAACCCCCAGAACTTTGGTATGTAGAACAAATCTATACTGATTCCTTCTGCTGTCCCCATTATTTCACTAAAACTGTCTTCATTCTTGCGCTGTGTATTCTTAAACTTGCAGCTTGGAAACTAGCTGTTTTCTGGTTTGTGTAACAGTTGACTAGGTGAATAATTAGACTAAAAAATTTCTAAAAGCCACTGTTAACACTCATAAAACATTAATTTTTTTTTTCTCTCTCTATTTAGCACTTGGTCAGTGAATGGTTAAGTGAAAAGAGTGATAAAACAGGGAAACCTACAGACAGTCTATCAGAAAGGCCTCTACGCATAACTACCGACCCTGAAGTTCTGGCTACTCAACTGAATTCTTTACCAGGTCTCACTTATAGTCCGCATGTATATTCAACTCCAAAGCACTATATTCGTTTTACTTCACCATTCCTTTCAGAAAAGAGGAGGAAAAAAGAACCTGTGGAAAACATTACTGGCTCTTGTAAGAAGGTAATGCTTCCCTTCATTATGGTTCCCCATCCCATATTAATTAAAAATAAGTCTTTATTTGTTAGTACGAATTGAGGTGGAAAAAAGCTGACAACCAATTCTGTCATGTGTAACGTGTTTTGAAATGTTTATCATTAAACTGTGAAGTCACTGATTTGAACTTGTTTTATTACAGCGTTGGTTAAAGCAGGCTTTGGAAGAAGAAAATTCAACAATAATTGATAGATTTAACTCACCATCACATGAGAGATCTAGAAGTCCAGCCATCAATGGTGAAAATAAAAGTCCATTGTTACTGAATGACAGCTGTTCCTTAACAGGTGAAGCTTTTACTGATACAGTACATAAGAGCTATGTCAAAGTAGTTAATGTGGAAGACCATGGTTTTAAAAGTGCTGAGATAATGAAAATTCCAGGGGTATTTGCACTGTTTTCTGATACTTTCTTTGAAAGAAATGCTTAGTTGCATAGTGGTTGAGATTTTTTTTCCCCTTTAATGTATAATTGATACTAGATAAGTAACCACAATATTTCATAGTGTGTACAGTCAACAAAAGACTAATGTTTTTGACTATGAGTTTAGGTTAAATTATTTTTCTATATATTCAGAATTCCTTTTAAATTCAGTGGGCCTGTGTTGCACATGGGGAAAGCTGTAATTTTTTAGGCATAATACAAAATGGGAACATGCTAAAAACTAAACACACTTCTCTAAGGGTATGGAGCCTATCAGATGATTACTGTGTACAGTCATTAACTTGGAATTTCCACTTTTTACCTGAACAGTCTTAAAAATGTAGAAGTTGACTTTCCCTTTTCTGGAAACATAGATAGTTCTTCCCATCATCCTAGCACACAAATTTTGGTTATTGATAACTCTTAACAGACTACAGATACTATTTTTCAGGAATTGTGTAGACTGTTAAGAGCTCATCTTTCAGGAAGTCTGCCTTTAAGAGAGTCTGTATTCTTACTGATTTTTTTTAATGTGGAGCTCATAATTTCATTACATCAAGCACTTAACTGTGATTGCTGTATCTAGATCTCTTCTAGCTTGTTTTCTAATTTTAACACACAGATCTAACCACGCCACTGAAAAAACGAAGACTGTATCAGCTGTTGGAGTCTGCATTCTCAGAAACCTCCACACCTACTCCTTCTCCATATGCCACACCAACTCACGCTGACATCGCTGCCTCCGAGCCTTCATTGTTTGCTACTCCTCCTAGGGTAAAAACAGAAGATGAAGCTTGTAGAAATGGTTACAAACCCATATATTCACCAGTTACTCCTGTAACTCCATGTATACATGGAAATACCATGCACTTTGAGGTGAGATTTTTAATG